CTCACCCCGAGCTTGACCGACGACCGCAATGAGCTCAAACACAGCGAGTCGATGATCACTTGATATTACCTACATTGAGTTCTCGGCCTTATCATGATCGAGACATCTTTATAATTGGACCGACTATTGCTAACACTACAACGGTTGCTGAACTACATAGCCGCCACATTATGGAAACTGAGAGTACCATCGCCTCAGATAAGCATTATATTTTACTCAAGTCCATCAAAACACCCGGCCCTCGACATGATGATCGATTGTTTTCCGCAGAGCTCTGTTGCCATCGCAGAACTGGGGAAAATGTAGCTCAAGATATCTGCCAGATGTGGGCGACCTGCGATCACAGAATACAACAAAGTTTATGAGTTGAGTAATACGTACAGAAGTACGACTGACAGAGAGGACTGATGAGCGGAAAACAACGAGCAGGGATTCGAGCTGTGGAGAAATCCCTATATTGTACGTGGCCCCCTCGTTCTCCTTACCCTTGCCCTTATCCGCACGCTTGATCTCCCTGAGAATGTCCAAAATCAAGGACTGAGGCCGCATTTAGGCGCTCTGGGCGATGACGATGACCCAGATCTTGATGTAAGGAGGAAAAGCGTGAAGGAAACAAAAAGAAGCCCTCTGCTCGACTAGGACTGCAACATCCCGGCTATCAGGGCTCACTTCAACCAATACAAGGCGGCCAATTTCAAGTACATGGTTATAAATTAAGTATGCAGATAAATAATAATACCTAGCACATGAAAGTTTCTCTAAAGTTCTGCCCGGAAAAGTTCGCCAACCTCCTTATCGGAACTTAAGAATACCTTGAAGAAGCAGTTCGTAAGGACTGCCGATGGTTCCCGAGGCTAAGAGTATGGTATTACTATTTCTAAACCTGCCTAAGATTTCCGAGGATCTTGGGAATAGGCATCGGGTAGTTATGGCCACTCGTCTACTACCAATTGCTCGTTTTGGGTTTGACGCTGAAGAAAGGCCGGGCATGGCATTTATGTACTTTCGATACCATGATAACGACGGATTAGTGACTTTATTACACGCAGCTGAGCTGAAAAGAAGTATTGATAGACGGTCTGACGGATCCAATATATGCATGAATAACGAATGAATTTCAAACTGAATACAATTTTGCTGTTCACCAGTACCGTGATTCAAACTTCAGCCAGGGACGAAAACGATCGTCGACTTGAGACTAGTCTCCTGGCTCCAGTCAATTATTTCTATAATGGATAAGGTACGCCGACCGAAACTTCACAGCAGTACCTGAGCGACCGTCCGAAGAGCCTGTTTATTCGGCTCCGCCGTTTTACAACCCTTCAGCATTATTTCAAACAAGTCTCCGCGGGCGCAGTAACTCGCTCAGTCGTCGCTCAAACTCGAAAGTTCAACCTCAAAACTGACTTCCGTTTACTGTCGCAGCCTCAATCTTCCGTCAGCGAATAAGAGGCAGACCAAAGCCCACACTCTCCGCTGGGGGTTCAAGAGTCTTCTCGTTATCACTACTGGCAACAATTCGCACAAGGTACTTCTATAGCCTAACCGTGGCCTCAAAGTGCAAAGACAAAGACCCTCTCCTTAAATTGCAGATCCAAAGCTCTGAGCTTCACTCGCTACCCACGGCATCATCATCGGTGTATTCTCAAGATGTAACATAGTGTGACCCTGTCGCTGCAGTGTCAACCGATTTACGAGAAAGCTTTGCCATTGCTGAAGTTCCGGCCATGCAACAATAGAGAAGCCTCTCAGCTGCATGAATGCCAAGGGAGCATTTTAAAATGACAATATGATCACATAGCAGCGAGAGATAGACAAACTATATAGCCCGTTGCTAAAGCAAGCTGACTTGATTACCAATAAGGAGATTATCCATATTAAAAGATTTACAGGCCTCGAGACAGCATACAGCCAGCTCCATGCAGATAGACTGAAAAAGAGAGATGGTAGCAGTAAGAATCCCCGGAATTCAAAAATAATATTGCCGGGGCAGGATTCGAACCTGCGGCACCCTCCGTCACTAACCATTGCATCTCAAAGAACGATCCGCCAAGACGGCATCGTGGAGGGGGTGTTACCAACTACACCACCCAGCATTGTTGCTTTTTGATAGTGATTCAGTTGCTTTTCATTATGAACCATTAGGTAGGGGACTCGACTTAGCGTTGGGGTGCAGTCAAGATACTTCGAGCGGCCACGGAATCGGACATGATCTGCCGCGTGGGTATACTCTCAATAATAAAGAGACGCGTGGTTCATGTCAACAAGAGCAGAGCTCAAGGCTTAACGTTATTTACGGTTTATTAGCATTGAGTCGTGGCTTAGATGGATACTCTGTAAGGTATCTAGCTTTGCAATGCGACGCGGCGATCGCCTTCTGTCTCTCGAGTTGCCCCAAGACTTACCAGCATTGAGTATCGGCTGTGCGTTTCATAACCCGAAAGGAGTTTTCTAATATTTCATCGCACCTTACCGCAGCTAGAGGTAGCTATGGAAGGTTGAGAAACACAGCTTATTCTTGCGGTTCTTCCCATTTACATGTAGTATCGGCATTCAAGTGTTGGCAGAGCAAGTTAACTACATTGAAGCTGATCGTTTCTCATCACCTGGGCTCTTATTCCATTTCAGTTATTGAGCACCACCTCAGTCTCAGCGAGGTTCGAATCTTGTCAGGTGACAACCATTGCAAGAGTTCTACCATCAAAGAGGAGGAAGGTGCTGCCAGTGCCCCCCTGACCTTTCTGCCCCAGCCCCACTTCAGCTTTCATCACCAACAACAATTTCTCTTTTCTCCAAGAAAGATTTGTTTTGTCATCGCCTGCAATTTATCGATCTCGACTCCGTGATCTTTCTACAAGACGGCAGCCGCGTGACGGCAAATGTTTGCCAGCATGGGAGAAGCACCTTTGTCTCTGACCTTTCTATGCCAGGGGTTTGCATTTGCTATTCCACAGTCTATCGCGAGAGCGCAGTCCCCAAAGCTCGCAGCTTCTCTCGACGCCGCTCAAGAAGTGCGATATCCCACGGCTCATACTCTCCAGGGAAACTGACGCTGTGTAGATATCTCAGAATCCGGTTGTCACAGTCAAAGACTTCTCCCTAGACACAGTAAACTGCATGGTTGAATTCTTCAAGTCTGGTTGCTACGAAGTCGACCGAAGGAACTTGCCAAGTGTGCTGCAAACCGGTATGAAGTTCGCTCATTGTTGTTCATGACCAAGGCTAACCACGTGTATCAGTTGGAGGCGCACCAGCTCCGGAGCACTTTATGCGCGATGTATTAGCCTGCCACCTTCAAATCTGTGCCATCGGCACTCGCTATGGTGTTTCCAAGCTATGCGACCTTGCTAGAGACAACATTCAGAAGGTCTTCGGAGGAAAATGGTTCGATTCGGTTTTCCTTTTCATTGCCAGCATTGTCTTGAAATCAAAGGATGATAAGCTGCAAAGATTACTTGTTGCTCTTGCGAGAGGGCACCTCCACTCTCTAACAACTTCTAACGGCTTCGACCATGCGACTATGCTCAAAAGTTTTCATCCCAAACTCCGAGAGCAAGACGATAAAGTTCAACAAAATGGAGATCAAACGAAGTCAACATCGATCAAGAAAGAGAGCTCCACCGAGCATGAAGCCCTCCGATCCCAAGTCTCTTCTCTCGAACAACAAGTAATAACAGTCTCCAGTGAGCGGGACCAACTTCGAGAGCAGATATCGGTTGCCTCAGTCAAGGAGGAAGAACTACGACAGAGCCACGCGGATATTGCTGCTGAGCGAGACTTGTTGCGTAGTAAGTTGTCAACCTTGGCAGCCGAGAAGAAAGAACTCCAGAAGGATACGGCGAAAAAGCCCGCTAAAATGGATCACGATGAACATGGAATAAGCGATGCGAACAAGAAGTCTTCAGCAGAAATTGAAGCAAAGGAAAACGCCAAAATACTTGAGACACTCCAACTAGAGCTTAGAGTTACAAAGTCCGAGAGCGGCTTGCTCAGGGCCAGATGGGCTAGAGAGAAGACAGTGTCGTCGATTCTGACCCAAGAGAACGACGAGCTGAAGAAAACCCTCGAACTCGAGAAACGTAGCAGGGTCAGCATTACGGAATTTGCACGAGACGATGTTCGAAATGCCCTCAAAGACGAGCAAAAGGTGACAACTGACTTGACCGCGAAACTTGCCCAAGCGTCACGGGCCCTCGAGGCAGAAAGAAAGCGCACAGCAACGCTGGTGCGAGAAGTCACTCAAGCCAAGAGGGATCTTGAACTGGAGAGACAAGGAAATAGTGGCATGTCTCTGAGGGACCGAGACAGAATGAACGAAACTATCAGGGCCCAGAAAAGCGAAATTTCGGCGCTCGTTAGCGGACGAGATGAGATCAAGAGGGAACTACAGATGGTGAGGACTGAGAAGAAGAATGAGATTGACAGAAAATGGGAGATCACCAACAAGATTAATGCGTTAATCCACACAATGAACGAGTGGGATGAGTGCCGTCATTGCGGTGCTGAGTTTGGGTCATACGTGGAAGACCACGGCAGCACGCTAGTTCTGCGATGCGCTGACTGCACAACTCGACACTGGGTCTGATGTGTTAGGGTAGTGTGCCTGGCTGGTGATGGAGCAACCAAGGGAACAATTGTGAGGTATTACTTGGCTTTATAATGGATCCTACTGTACGAGGAGTCTTGAAGGAATAAGGAACGGTCTAGAATTATTTGTTTGTAAGTTACAGAATCATGGAAATTACATCGTTACTCATCGGCCCCTTGACCCGGTCCCCCACATGAGTTAGCTAACGGCTGTCGCATCCGACTATCTAACTTATCAACTCCAACTTTAGGTTACTACTACCCGATTATGGAGAATTCAAGGTGCTTTTTAGGTTGCATTACTAGACTGAGGGGTTGTGACTCAACACAGAGAGGCCTATTTAAGGCCGATAAACCCTAAGTTCTCGCCCTCACCCTGCGTCTTCCATTTACATCATTATCCCATTAGCAACATGTCGCCCAGCAACGGAAAGTACGTCGTCTTCGATATCGTTGGGACCTGCGTCTCATATGACAAGCTTATCGAAGCAGTCGAAAAGCAACTTGGTGACAAGCTGCTGGCCGAAAATATAAAGCCCAGTCTTCTCGTGAACATTTGGATAGAAGCCAGCGAGCGCGAGTACACGTACCTGTCGATCACTCAAAGATACATCGCATTCGATAAGCTTTTCGCGTCTCTCTTTTATCGCATGCTCTGGCTCGCCGGAATCGAGGAACCACGCTCCTTCGCAAGTGATGCTGATATTGAGAAGATTACGCAAGGCTACATGGAGCTTGAGCCAAGACCTGACCTCAAGGAGTGTTTCGATAAGCTTCGAGCTGCGGGATTCACGGTGCGTGGTTTGACAGCTGGGGACTTCGACAGAGTGCTTGGGTACTTCGATAAGGCGGGCATCGAATTCCCGAAGGAGCACCTGATGTCCTGTGACTCATTTGGAGTGGGTAAGCCGGACCTCGAGGCATATGCATCGACTTTTGAGGAGTTGAAGGGAGCAAAGGAGCTTTGGTTCGCTGCGGCCCATATGTGGGACGTGAGCGCAGCTAAGCAAGTCGGGTGAGTGAATTATTGCCGCCCTATTGGCAGTTACTAATGAATGATCTGTAGATTCAAGAGTGCTTATTGTTCTGTCCTGGAAAAAGAGCCCTGTGTTGACATCTTTGGGGAGATGGATGTTATGTCGGATACTCTGAGTGAGATGGCAGATAAGATTATCCAAGCTTCTTCTTAAGCTGTTAGGAATTATCATAGAGGTTGAAACATGATGTAAACGATGCTCATTTCTGTCATGAATCCCAATCCCCAACTGTCACCATTGTCCGAACCTTGGATGTGAGAAACTTGATACTACTTCGAGCCGGCTACTGACTAATCATTTAGGCCAACCGCAGAGAGCCTTACGCATTCTTCAACGTCGACGTTTGCGTCGCGTCGAGGAAGGCGTATCCAACGGCACCAGTTTGGCCTTCGATACAAAGTAAAAGGCTGTTCCTGTCACAGTTGAAACAAACAAGGATAAAGATAAAGTTACAATTAAAGTTGGCGAAAGCTTGCCGTCACATATCTTGGCCGCTACATTCCAGTGCCAGACTGTCCATTGTTCAAGGTCTAAGACATCTGGCTCTCGCCAAGAAATTTACCGAGGAGGGACAGCATTTGTGAACCCGTCTAGAATGGAATTTTGGCGATATTGAATCGAGGTGTTTGAACAATGGGCTCATGTCTGGGACGGGTGCGGCCGAACGTTCCCGTTTGCGACCTTAGATGATGGCTGAGTGGCGTTTGTTGGTGAGGCTTGGGAGGGATATGCAGGGGAAGATGCATGCCTTTTGGTTCCTGGAAACCCTTTGCGGGTGACTACCCAGGCCAGGGAGGCAGGGGAACCTGGGCTCAATATCCTAAATCATGAAAATTCTTATAGAATTTAAGGCTAGATTTCCTAAATTTAGGATTTACTCTGCAGATCTTTAGATCAGCTTTTTGGCATCATTCTCAAACACCAAAGGCTTTCTTGCTCACAGACTCCAATCAGTGAGTTCTCGTTGGGGCCTGGAATGGTGGTAAATGGGTAGGTCATGTCCCTCAAAATCAGGGAGGATTTTCACAAGGGCATTATGGCTACCTTAGTCAAGCCGCTTTTGGCAATTCGTAACTTGACAATACACTTGTCGCTTACAATGTTATTCACTCAGTGTCTCGCTCACGTATCATTCCTCAGATCAAAGCTGAGCCCATCAGGCATTTTCCATCAAAGCAGGCCCAAGCTCCATCCGGCGTCTCATAGCGCCTCAATCTCCAACTCAATCTCACACTTTAACGAGCGCCACGATACCAGGTACAGCTCTAGCGAAGAGATCCAAGGCCGATGGAACGTTTCAGTTGGAGTCAAATATGTTACACATGGTGGCTTAAGCTTAGATTTAACCATGTGCCCTTAGAGGATTGTGATACCGGCTAGTCCAGACAGAAAACAGGATGTTGGGCAGCTTGGATCTGATCGATTGGCATCTGGGCTGAGATAGCCCTCGCGTCTGGTTTTTGCTTTTGCGCAATTGTAGCTTAGATGGAGACATCTTGCAATATTCGTCTACGATCCTTGGTGCTGTTAAATGCTCCGGACTGTTTTAAGGAACTGCACGTGATATGATTCAAGATTGAGAAACGGTTTCCAACAAACACTTGCACTTCACAAGACATGGTGTACTCGATAAGCCACTGAAGCACAAAACCAAGATGTCGAAACGCATGATCACACAAGTTTCCGTTTGTCCTTGAGACATTGGCATTCGAGGCTTTATTAAGCTGTCCACTTCCGGGAATGTCGCTGTAGAACGTAGTGGGTCTAGACCCAGTCTGGCATTCAAGACGGCAGCTTGGCTGACAAACCGGCAAGAAATATATAATACTCAAAAGAAACCCTCGAAATGCAAACCATTCATAATACACAAGTGACTTTTCCTTTCATATTATAGTTACTGCTAGTCAGTTTAATTTTCACGATGCTCTCTCTCAGGAAATCTTCACTTCTCGCTCTCGCGACTTCAGCCGCGAAAGTCGCTGCTCACGGCCATGTAGACTGGCTTGTCACAAACGGCGTTGCATTTCGAGGCTATTCTGCTCCAGAGATGAGCTGGAACCCCAGTCATCCTCCTGTCGTCGGCTGGACCAACGGTGCCACTGACAATGGTTACATTGAGCCCAACTCCTTCGCAGACCCCGATATCATCTGTCACAGAGCGGCGAAGCCAGGGAAAGGCCATGTAACCGTGGCAGCAGGCGACAAGATTACTCTTCAATGGTCAACGTGGCCAGAGAGTCATAAAGGCCCTGTGATTAATTATCTTGCGAGATGTCCTGGAGACTGCGAGAGTGTTGACAAGAATGATCTTGAGTTCTTCAAGATTGATCAAGAGGGGCTCATTGATATGTCAATGCATAGTGGCAAGTGGGCAGCTGACGTACTTGTCGCTACCGGCTTCTCCTGGACTCTGCAGATCCCCGAAACGCTTGCTGCAGGCAACTATGTCCTCCGCCACGAGATTATCGGTATTGTACCCTGTTTCTTTCCCGTCACAAGAGACTACATGCTTACTTGCAGCCGCAGCTCTACACGGCTCTGGTCAGCCCAATGGAGCACAGAACTACCCCCAATGCTTCAACCTCAAAGTCACTGGTAACGGAGACTTGGCTCCAAAGGGCGTCAAAGGTACGCAGCTTTACAAGGCCAACGACCCCGGCATTCTCTTCAACCTGTATACAACACCTTTGTCCTACAAGATTCCCGGTCCTACACTGGTTCCTGGCCTCCCTTCTACAGTCTCTCAGAAGGTTGTATCCGCAACTGCAACATCGAGTGCAACTGTGCCAGGACAAACACAGGCTAGCACCAGCAGCAAATCTTCTTCCTCTACATCAAAGGGAGGCTCTTCGCGAACCAGCACCCCTGTTGCAGGAGGTACAACACTCAAGACTTCAACAACAAGCAAGTCTTCTTCGTCCAGCACAACGAAGGACACGCCACAGCCCACAGAGGACGACGATATCATCTGTGGTCCTGCAACGGGAGGTCTTCCAAAGTACAGTCAATGCGGAGGCAAAGACTATTTGGGGCCGACGATATGTCAATGGGGCTCAACTTGCAAGGTTATAAACCCTTGGTACTCGCAATGTCTTTGATTGAAGAGTTTCTGCGCTGGATTGCTGTAGACTCAGTTCCTTTATCTCGCTTTTGTGAACTGGGTAGTTAGCAATGAGAACTATGAAGTAAACCATAAAATAACGTGATTGTTATTCCCAAGCTTGAGAATTCAATAAATGTTTGCTCACTTCGCGATAAATTTATGGATATCGAGAAGAGCTTGAGAATGGGCGGCTTTTGCCGACTTTCGTCAGTCTCCGATTGATTCACCCAACATCCTCCGGCAGTACCGGCAGCATCAGAACATTATTCTTGGATATGAAAGTCAAAAAAAAAATCTAAAAGTGTGATATTAGTCAATTGTTCTTCGTTTTAGCTTAGCTTGTGCTTTTCCGGATATCATCGACATCATGTTTAAGCTTTCTCCGCGGAGTCAAGATCCTAAAAGAGTGATGCTTTTGCTCTTCATAAGCTGTCAGACCACAGTAGTCAATATTCAATTACATTAATCTGTAAAACTACTACCAGAGACTGATAATATGCCTCACCGTAAGCCTTGGGTTGTCAAAGTTCAGGCCCATCCTGGGTCGACAGCTGAAGAGATCCGGAACGAGCCGGATTAGGTTTCTGGACACCAGCATCGCGTTGGCTTCAGAGACAGAAATAACCGACTCCCTGGACTTACTAATAAAGACGATGAGTATAGAGAAGAGGTTGCGAGGGAGAAGCAGAAGTATCTTGCATTTCAGAAGAGGGCCAAGAGTGGAGAATTGATCAATTTCAGAGACTTGATTGAGAATCGAAAGGTCATTTCCTTATGGTTAAGTCAGTGATAAAGCTAACTGTTTCCAGGACTTTCATCTGAGACATCCGGAGAACCACTCGCTTGGATGGAGATATGTCCTCAACGCCACTGAAGATGCGGTCAAGAATCAAGAGCCATGGCCCGCAAACCTAAAGAAGCAGGAAGAAGACGAGAAGAAACAGAAAAAGGACGAAGCCAAGAGTGATAAGAAGGATAATATGCCTGAGCAAGAGCATGAGTGGAAACGTTCCTTGGATAAAGACAAGCATCACGATGCATACACAAAGAACAAAGAGAACGAGGAAAAGAAACAGGGAAAGACTTCGGATGAGGCACCAAAGCTCTCAGACAAGTATACACCGGCCGAGATAGCCCCACTCAGAGCGTTGGAGCATGAAAAGAACTACATCCAACACCTCAGAGAGAACAACGGAAAGAATAGGTCCCCTCAGCACAAGAATCTCACGCAGATCTCAATCGACGAACAGGACCAGTTCAGCCCAGATAACTGGCTTCCTCGCTCCCCAGACCTTATCCGTCTCACTGGAAAGCACCCTCTCAATGCCGAAGCGCCGTTGACGCGACTGTACGAGGCTGGCTTGATCACGCCTAACGAGCTTCACTACGTGCGAAACCATGGTCCTGTTCCACGTATACTCTGGGAGTTCCACGAATTGGAGATTACCTACGGTGGCAAAACTCAGAAGCTTTCTATGGATGAGCTGAAAGAGTTTGATACGATCAATATTGCTGTTGCGCTTGCTTGTGATGGAAACAGACGCAAGGAACTCAATATGATTAAGAAGAGCAAGGGCTTCAACTGGGGCGCTGGAGGTGCGAGTTGCGCCTATTGGAAAGGGCCTCTTCTTCGAGATGTACTTCTTGCGAATGGCGTCCCTGAGAACCCGGCGGGACTAGGCGAGAAGCGATATTGGGTCAACTTTGAAGGCACTGATGACTTGAGCGAGGGGAAATACGCGACCTGCATCCCTTTTGAGCACGCCATGGCTCCCAACAACGATGTCATTCTAGCCTACGAGATGAACGACGTTCCGTTACCACCTGATCACGGATATCCCGTTCGAGTTATCATTCCAGGATATGTTGGCGGTAGGAATGTCAAATGGCTCAATAAGATCTGGATAAGTGAGAAAGAAAATGATTCTTACTATCATATCTGGGATAACCGGGTCCTTCCATCGTTTGTTACTGAGAAAGATGGTCCTTTTGCCGAAACTCTCTTTCATCATCCCGATACAGCATGCAATGAGCAGAACCTCAACTCTGTTATCGTCAAGCCTGCACAAGGCGAGAAGATTCCTTTGGGTAGGGCCAAGAAGGGAGAAAACTATCGCATCGAAGGTTATACATATGACGGAGGAGGCCATGAGGTTCAGCGTGTTGAGGTCTCCCTTGACGATGGAGCAACTTGGCTGTACTGCCTCCGCAAATTCCCCGACTACCCAATCCGTCACGGAAACAAGTTCTGGAGTTGGCTCCATTGGCATGTCGACGTTGAGATTTCCCATGTTATTCGTGCAAAGAGTATCATGGTTCGATGTTTCAACGTGTTCAAAAACACGCAGCCAAGAGAGCCAAACTGGAATGTCATGGGCATGATGAACAACTGCTGGTATACCGTACGTCCAGAGATCGCTGAGGGCGACGACTCAGAAACGCCTTCTATTCTATTCAGACATCCTGTTGAGCCAGCTACAAAAGACGGTGGATGGATGAAGCCAAGCATTGAGAAATAAGATTGCAGAGGCGAAGCAAGAAGCTGGTGCGCCTCAGAAGGAGTTTACCCGAGAAGAGATTGAGAAGCATAACACTCAGGATGACTGCTGGCTTGTCGTGGACGGAAAGGTCTACGATGCGACAAGTGTACTTAAATGGCATCCTGGAGGTGCAGCTGCTATTCTTGGACATGCTGGTAAGGTGCATCAGGAGACGAGTGATGAATTTGCAAGCATTCATGATGACTACGCTTACAAGAAACTCAAAGGTGAGTCGACAGTCTTGTCCATGGGTATATCTAACGAGTATCAGAATGTGCTCTTGGTGTCGTGACTGAAAAGGCAGCCAACTTCATCAAAGAAAATGCAGAGGCAGCTGCCAAAGATGCAACTGATTCGAGTAACAAGGACGAGCATCGAGCGTTGGAAAAGCACAGATGGATTCCAGTCAAGCTCATTGATCGCAAGAACCTTTCCAAAGACACCAGAGCTTATACCTTCCAACTGCCCGAGGGCAAAAACATCCTCGGCCTTGGGACATGTCAGCATGTCCAGATTGGTTTCCATATGCTAGATCGGATGCTCATCCGCTCCTACACACCCACGAAGCCACTTCTCCCAACCCTAGGTGACAATATGACCAATGGAAGTGCCAAGTCTCTTCGTGACGGAGATGGCACTTTTGAGCTCACGATCAAGACTTACTTCCCCGATGAGAATCAACCAGGCGGCGCCCTCTCCAACATCTTGGACTGCATGCCCATTGGCGAAGAAGTCGAGCTTCGGGGCCCAACGGGAGAAATAGTCTACAACGGTAATGGAGACTTCGTTATCGAGGGTAAAGTTCGTCACTTCGATCGTGTATCCCTCGTGCTTGGCGGCTCGGGGATAACGCCAGGGTATTCCCTCCTCGCTCGTATTCTCCTCTCCGACAACGACAAGACGGAGATTCGAGTTGTGGACGCTAACAAAACAGAGGCTGATATCTTACTGAAAGAGGAGCTTGAGAAGTTTGAGAAGAAGTCTAATGGACAGTTGAAAGTCACACATGTCCTGAGTCATGCTGATGATAGCTGGAAGGGAAAGACGGGTCATGTGAATGAGGGTATCATCAAAGAGAGTTTGTTCGAGCCGTCTGAGAAGAGTGCTGTCTTCTTGTGCGGTCCGCCGGTGATGATACAGAAGGCTGCACTTCCTGCTCTCAAAGACTGGGGATACGTGGAGGATGAGAATATGTTTGGATTCTAGTGTGCCGATCTTTATTTGCAATTACCTTATTAGCTTGATCTGAATGTTAATGTCATGGTTTGGCACAGGGTACAGGATTAGGTCCAAGTGCACGAGAGTAACCTCATGTCAACATCAAGGCAGAAATGCAGCATGCCTCTCGCATGTTATTCATACCTCGCAAGCCCTCCATTATCCCATTTGAACATGAGGTGAATCTGCTTGGTGCAAGATTTTGAAATTTGTCGCTTTTTCAACGATCGAAAATGTTCAGGACTTGCAGGAGAAAATTATCACCAATGGGCCTTGAAGCTCACATACATTGGGCCCTTTGATTATTTCTCCAGCACCTTTGATTCCCTGTTCACTATCTCATGAAGATGTTCGATGAAAGCTTATCTGCGGACATAGTCGCTTGCGTCGCCAACCCTAAAGATCCCACCCAACCTTATCAACAACCATTAACACAGCCTATCAATTCATCAAGGTGCAGTATATCAAAGTCCCTCATGAAGAGCGGTCAGAAACTGGTCCATGCTCATGATAAGATGTTGTTTTGTGATATGTGAGAGATGATTTGACTGGCCACTGATAAGAAGTACCTATACGGGAGTTGATCTATCGGATAACTGTATGCAAGATCTCGCCGAGATAGATTAATAAGGGTGCACCCTGAATATGGCGCGATTTTGTAGATCATTGATGAGATTATACATCCTATCGGCACACTTGCCGAGAATTGAGGCCATCTCGAAAGATAGATGCTCAGTGGGTAGCAGTGTAGTTTGAAGCTGTCGTCAGATACTACTTAATTCACGTCTTGTGTTCATCCTCTTGCGCGCATAAGTGGTTCTGATTGAAGTAAGCAAATCACATGTGTTGATTCCATTACATTGTATCCTCTGCTATGGTGAGTTTCATATCATGGATCGCGATGTCGCAATAATTACAACCAGAATTGTTTGAAATGTGATCAATTTCATCTTTCCAAACAGCGGAATGACTCTCATGCTAACTTTTGTCCCGCTAACCAAACGCTATAATACACTCTTTTCCTTTCCATTCTTTTCATCCATCAGGGTATTCATCATAATCTCATAACTTAAACAGCAGACGTTCCCTTCTCAGGAGTCTCCTCAGGCCAGACATCATAACCGAAGGTATCCTTCATGTTGACAAAGCGAGTGTGTCGGCCCTTGGCAACACTCTGGATAGCCTCAAAGTCTTCATCAGACAGGTTGGGAATCTGGAAGTTGCTCTCAATTCGAGAGGGCGTTGAGCTCTTTGGCAGCACAGCATAGCCGCGGCGCAGACCCCAGGCGAGGAGCACTTGAGCGAGGGTGTTGCCGCTGCGCTCGGCGACGGCGTTGAGGGTCTCGTTGGTGCGGACCTTCTCACCGGTAGTGGGGACCTGGTTCTGAGATCCGAGGGGAGAGTAAGCGGCTGGGAGGATGTCGTTCTCCTGGCAGAACTTGACAAGCTCCTCGTTGGGCAGGAAGGGATGGATCTCGATCTGGTTGACAGCTGGCTTCACCTTGGCGAAGGACAGCAGCTTCTTGAGACCCTCGACGGTCCAGTTGGAAACGCCAATAGCACGGGCCTTGCCGCTAGCATAAATCTCCTCCATGGCGCGCCATGTGGGTTCAGGGTTCTCAGTGAGATCCTTCTTGATGACGTACTTGCCATCAGGTCCGATCTTGGGCTTGTAGTCCTCGCCCTTCTCAGCGGCGATGGGCCAGTGAACGAGGAAGAGGTCAATGTAGTCGAGGCCAAAGTTCTTGAGGGAGTTCTCGAACGACCACTTGACCTCCTCAGGCTCGTGGAGGTGGTTCCAGACCTTTGTTGTGATGAAGATGTCCTCACGCTTGACATCCTTGTTCTCGGCGAGGAAATCCCTCACAGCCTGGCCGACCTCACCTTCGTTGAGGTAGAACCAGGCGCAGTCGAGGTGTCGGTAGCCGACCTTGAGGGCGCACTTGACAGCGTCGTAGGTCTCGCCCTTTGCGCCCTCGTTGGCGAAAGTGCCGAAGCCCAGGCCGGGCATCTTGACGCCATTGTTGAGGGTGAAGGTGGTCTTGTTTGAGACGGCCATGGTGTAGATGTTTGGGTGAAGTTTGGGAGTGAGTGATGGGTATGTGAGTAGGTGAAAGATAGGGAGTGAGAATCTTGGACTAGTGAGGGGCAGTTTTAGATATGAACGGCTTTTAAAGGGATTAAATTGATGATGAATGGTAAAATATCTCAATTGACGTTTCGTCAGTGGAGAGGTACCTACATGCGCTGAAAACTCTATACCTACGCAACGGCAATTGTGTAAGGATGGCACGTTTTGACCTACTCTCACTGTACAGTGCAGTAGGTACTTGATGAGGTGGCTGTCATTCATCATCCATGGTCATGTTTTTTTCGCCGAGACCGCGCGAGGCGAGTTTGGGACAAGATGGGCATTGACGTCATGTCCTTAATTGGGAAACTTCTAGAAAGGCTAAGCTAGGAGAGTCTCTCAGTAACGAATTTTCACCTTGATGGGAAATTTTACTGACTGAGGCTGTTCCGTTTTGCCAAGGACTGTTGTGCCGGTTACAGTTACTTGATCGCCCCTCGCTTCAGCTATGGCACGTAGAGTTTTCGTCCGAGGAGAGCTACGTGGACAAATACTTGAGTCAGGGAAACGTTCGGCGACCAACCAGAAGATCAAGAGTCGAAAAAAGTAATCTTATCACTTGAAAATTGGAGCCGCAAGTGGCGATCCTTTTGAGAACGTCCCTTACGTTTTCTAGACGAGACTCGAGAGGCTGAATACCCGCCCTAGCCGTATTTTCTTCAGTAACGGTATCCACCCCTAAAAAGACGGTCGACGACAGAGTCTAGGGTCTTTCGGCAGTGGAGACAGGGGATGATGTCAGAAATGAACCCCTTGTGAAGCTTCTCCAATTTAATTCCCGTGCAAAAACAGGCACCGCCAGAGTCCATCTCCACTGGCAGTCCACTTGGTGCGGACTCTTCTCGGCCAGCACCTCCAAGATAGCGATGCGAAGCGATAATGAGGCCTCGAGTCGAGGTACTTTTTATCTCTTGAGGCATATCTTTCTCGAATGGTGTAACTTGCTAAGAGGGGCTGCGGAGTCAATCTTGACACAAACCTCACGTCACTTCTGCTACGAGCTATGACGACTGGCTCAAAGTTTAACTCGAGTACCTAGGGGCGTGTGTACACCTTCATTTTTCACACTGCTTGTCGCGGGAAAACGGGAAGAAACGGTTCAAACGTGTCGTCTTCCAGTCCGTTCTTTGGCTCTCTAGCCCTTCCAGATAACGGATTCCCCATGTACTGTACTCTATGTACTGACAACAGTTGATTGCATTGACGGTGAACGCCCGAGATCCACTTCGGTAGCGCCGTTTGACATGAGGAAACCATGGATGGACTTTGTCTTGAACGGACGAGACGTTCCCGGGAAAAATGTGAAAAGTGAGAAAAGATGATGATATCAACAAATCTCACTCATTTTCACTCGTTCTCACAGTATCTGCGAGAACTCTCGAGATAGATAAATACGGATCCCCGCCCCATTTCTCTTGTCCATCATCTCGATCTCATACCTTCATCATCATCCTCATACCCAAGCAGTCTTCCCTTCACTCATACTTGATACCCCCCCGATATAACCCAATCCACGACTGGCTTCTTTCCCTCTTTCCCTCTTTCCCTCTAACTTGACATTCTTCCTCATCTTCACATCGACTGTCTTTCTTGTTCACTATGCCCGCCTACGACGACAACGAACTTCACACCCCAAACTCCCCCAGCACCCTCCGCAAGATGTCCAACATGAACAACGGCGAGGGTAACGGCGAGGGCCACCACGACAGCCTCGCCATTCCCGGCGACGATGCCAACGGCCCTCAGGAGATCCCCGCTACCAGGTCCTCCATCTCAGAGGCCGCAAAGTACATGCACAACCTCAGCGTCTCTCCCTCGATGAGGGACCGACGATCCTCCCGAAACTCTTTCGGTACTGCTCTGCCTATCCCCCGCAAGCGCCAGTCGCGCCTCTCCTCCGTTCACCATGCCGACGGTCGACCCACCCGTCCCGGCATGCCCCCGATCCAGCCTACCCGAGAGCTCCTCGTTGCTCAGGTTCAGGACCTCCAGGCTGAGAAGGTCAAGAAGGCCAAGAACATGGCCTTTGCCTTTGACATTGATGGTGTTCTCGTCCACGGTGATCGTCTGATCCCCGAGGGTAAGAAGGCTCTCGAGATCCTCAACGGTGACAATGAGCTTGGCATCAAGATCCCTCACATCTTCCTTACCAACGGATCTGGTAAGATCGAGAAGGATCGCTGCGCACAGCTCTCCAAGATCCTTGGCAACCCTGTCGAGACCGACCAGTTCATCCAGTCCCACACTCCCATGAGTGCTCTGGCTGAGTACTACAGCACCGTCCTCGTCGTCGGTGGTGAGGGTTACCGCTGCCGTGAGGTCGCTGAGCAGTACGGCTTCCGCAACATCGTCGTCCCCAACGACATTGTCGCCTGGGACCCTACCATTGCTCCCTACCGCGTCTTCACCGAGGAGGAGCGCGCCACCTCTCGTCCCCGTGACTTCACCAAGATCTGCATCGAGGCTATCATGGTCTTCTCTGACTCGCGAGACTACGCTACCGACATGCAGATCATCATGGACGTCCTTCGCGCAAAGAACGGTCGTCTCGGCACCGTCGCTGAGGACCCCGTTGCTGAGCGCGTTCCCATCTACTTCTCCCAGGGCGATCTTCTCTGCCCTACTGAGCACCCTTACCCTCGTATGTCCCAGGGTGCTTTCCGCATCGGTCTCGAGGCTATGTACAAGGCCCTCACCGGCGCTGACCTCGAGCGTGTCGTCTACGGCAAGCCTGAGTTGGCTACCTACAAGTACGCTGACGATGTTCTGACCTCATGGATGGGCGAGCTCCACGGTGAGGAGCGTCTTCCCGAGCACATCTACATGATCGGCGACAACCCCGCATCCGACATCATCGGTGGAAACATGTACGGCTGGAACACCTGTTTGGTGCGCACCGGTGTGTTCCAGGGCGGAGACAACGACGAGAACAACCCCGCCAACTTTGGCGTCTTCACCAACGTTCTAGAAGCCGTCAAGAAGGCCCTCCGCAACGAGCTCGGCCAGGACTTCAAGTGCTACTTCGATGAGAAGATCAACCCCGTCCTGCACGGTGATGCTGCTGATGCCGCCGCTGTCGTCTAAGCGTGCGACAATGACATTTTTAACGAAACTTTGTTTTTTTATGGCGTTTGGATTTTGGGGGAATTGAAAAGTCTATGACGAATTTGAACCCATGGATTTTGACTTTTTGGCATAGACCAGCGATAGAATCTTGATATCAATAGCATAGATTGAATTGACCAAGATGACACTCGGCGGACGCGTCTGAGTGTGTCTCGGGGAATTGCCTGGAGCAGTTCAATTGAAAGCAAATTCTCAATTTTTTGTGTCCCTGCAACGTGAATGCGACGGTGATGAGTCGTCCTCAATTGAGAAGATCATGTACCTTGGAGCCCTGTGCCTTTACTGTGCTTCACTGCCTTGTACCTGCAACTCGCAACCACCAGCAAGAAAATTCCCCCGATCGGCAGCGGTACCCGCCGTGAACCAGGCTGCAAGCATCCGTGGCAGTGAGTGCACAGGGGGAATGACAATGGAAGTATCCAATGTGCATACGCTGCCAGGGTTGTGATCTCAAGCTTGGCTGGTTCATCTGGATCGACACAGATTGCAAGGCAAGTGCCGAACTCAAAAGCAAAGATCAGCGGAAGTGAAAACCTGGAAAGCTTCATAAGATCAACGATACATATTTCTCAGGCGACATTCTTTTGCACCGTCAGGACCGTTTTGAATCGTGAAGCTCGTTCGATCAGCAACGTAAAGTGAGGAGTTTCAGTGGGTGGATGCGACGATGTCATGGCGTCATTTAGGCCAGTCTTTAGGGAGCGGTCCACTATCACGAAAATAGCACAGCATGTGAATACGACATCATTATCTTCACCTCCGAGTCATGGATCAGTTGTGCCCGAGAGAACGGGGTTGTAGAGCATTCAAAATAATTGCAATTCTCTCGCAGCGGACTAGATTTTATAAACAGAAATCGGACAAGTGTCGTAAGCTTACGTTGTGATATCGTGCGCTCGCCAATCGCTCCTGTGTCGCGTTTCGCTACAAGCAAACGCGAGGTTGAGCGATGGGCCAAGACATCTACAATGCCTCATCAATCCCTCACAGGACAAATCTTACGTGTAAAACTCGCCCGAAAATAAGACGAGCTCGATTAATTGAGAATTTCATGTTAGATAGATGACAAGGTAGTTTGATGATAAAAGCCAATGTCCTGCATCTATCCGGTTTTCTGTCCGCATCCCATCTCATTCAGTCACTCCGCACCGTCAACAGTTTATTAGTGTTTCCTGTACATACCAAAATCATGGCCCTATTTCTATCAACTCTTCTCTTTGGAGCCCAGCTCATTTTGAGCGCATCGTCTCACTCAATCCCCAATATGCTTCCTCGATCAGGACAACATCAGTATCCATACCCTGTACTGGGCTCAGACGAAGCTGCAGATTATGCAACAACTGGGTATTTCATCAATCATTTCGCCATCTCTACCAGAAATCTCACTGCCAGCCTTGACTTCTACTCTAGAGTCCTTGGCTTCCGCAAAATGTTCACCTTGTACGTCAGCAAGACATACTCCATCACCTACCTAGCCCATGCCCACGGTGGCAAGAACGGAACAGGATATCAAACCGCTCTGGAGTTGAATCGTGAGAAAAATAATGCTCAAGGTCTTCTCGAGATTTACTACCTCGATATTCCTACCAATAATATTAAGTCTAGCTCTCAGCATCCCAACACCTTTACTCATATTGGACTTGTTGTACCCGACGCCCAGAAGACACAAGAGCGTCTGGAGACGATGCCTGATCTAAAGATTGTCAAGAAATATGGAGAGAAGTTTACCCAGCTCACTGATGATCTTGTGATCGGCCCGGCTGTTGGACTGCCGCCTGCTATTGTTGCATAGTTGAGCCCGGAGGAGAGGGAAGCAATTGTTGAAGGACTCGGGGGTAGCGTCGATCCGCTCATCTTTATTGTTGATCCCGATGGAAACTTTATTGAGATTCAAGGTGAGGAGGGTGCTGATTTGGTACAGGGATGAGTCTAAGTTGTACAAGAGAGTAGGGGACAGGTGCCTGGGGAAGCGTGTACGGGACGGTTGGGTATGTAACAGGATCTCGTGCTCATCAAAGTGTCATTTTGGAAGCTTCGGCCATTTATTCAAGAGTAAATCAAAACATTACGGCACCTAATTAGTTTGAAATCGATTTGAGATACATTTTGTTACGTGGTGAGCCCATAGTACATGGAGCCCCCTAGATTAAGTGAGTATAATGAGCCGCCAGTATAGGAGAAACTTTTCAATGGTTTCACTGGCACCTCCTACTACAGGAAATCCTTTCATAGTTGCAATCAAGAGTTAAAACACTCCTACTAGCCCTACGAAATTATACACCTCGAAGCTAAGGGCCGAGAACGCTTTAGACTTGCCACCCTTGGTCTCAACCCCACGTGTTTCTGCAAGCTCAGGCACTAGGTCTTCTATGAATCACGCAACAGATCCAATGGTGTTCTTTTAATATATTCCGAAGCTTCGATAGGTCGCCAACGTCAGTGCCCCTGCATATCGGCACCAAATAAGCTGCCGTTCCTGAGTCCCCCGCAATTTGCGTGGGTTATTCTCCATGAACTCGGCACAGCGGAAATAGACATAAACTGAATATTTACATAGAATCGCGAGCTTGTGATGTCCAATTTTTGTGCCTTCTCTTTGTTTCAAACTGATCAGCTATCATTCACACACGCACCGAGATCCCTCCAATACCAACACCGCAAAGCATGCCAAATTCAGACCCAGCCAAGCTTCCCCTTCCGCCCCCAACTCAACAGCAACACAACGAGGCTGTCGAAACCACCCGCAATTTCACCCTGCATACGACAGCAATCAAATGCTAAAAAGGCGGTCAACGGTGCCTCCGAGCCACGTAGCTGTTGGAGTACATACATATGCACGCAGCCGGTTGATCAGACCCAAAAGGGGTTGGGCAATTGGAGTTGGCATGGGTTGGGCCGATTTGGAGTCGCTGTGAGGGGTCAGAAAAAACACCAAAAAGGGAGAAGGAAAATGTAGTTGCGATGAAAATAAGTCATCAAGCGGCTCTGCGGTCATCATGTGTCTCAAAGGCCCAATGCCCAGCTCTTCATTTCTGCTCACGCAAATGCTGAAGCGGCCACCATCTCCTAACGTTTCTTTGGATTATTCCTCTTCGAGTACCGTCCCGTGAGATCGTCTATTACTGTGCTGCTGACCCTTCGGCTGTGGCATAGTGTAAACCAAGAAAGGTAAGTCAACTCTCCGCTGTCCAACGAGACGCGACTGTTTGATGCGACACTGTCTGACTGTTATCTGCACAGCTGAGACAAAGTCTTACCACCTTCTGGTCATCATATCCCGATCCTGTTCCATCGAGAAAAGCCCCCAAAGCAAGAGAGTATCGACAACGTCACAGCGACTGGACAGTTTGTCTGTCCCTGTCTCGAGCTGTGAAGGAATGACCGTCTGCTGGGTCAATCTTGCCCGTCGACAAGGACTCCAGAAGGCATCTTCAGTTAACAGAGAAAGGGTCACGTAAGACCGTATCCAAAAGACCATACCGTCGACCGAAACGTACCATTCACTGCCTGTGATAATGAGAAGATCTACCTCTCATCACGGTGCTGCATCACACAAGAGACCGTACCCCTGCGTGATAGCAGATAGATTCCCAGGGAAATGCAAGAGGAGTTTCAACAACATTGAAAAGCTCAAGTAAGCCATACGACGTCTCGCGCCAACCCTCAAACGTACTAACCAGCCTCAGCGAGCATATCAAGCGATGCCACAACCCATTCCTCTGGTGCAATGATTGCTTGAAGAAGTTCAACAGCTCCTTCAGCCTGGAAGCTTTGGAACGTGAGAAGGAATATCATAAGGCGATATGTCCCAAAGAGCCTTCCGAGAAGAACAAAGCCCTCAGGGAGAAGGCTTACGTCATTGACGAAGCTCGATATGAGCTTTGCAAGAAACTGGGTTGGAAGCAGACTGCTGCTTCACATGAGCTGAATCGCGAAACAGGCGGCAAGGAATGCGTGTCTCAACGGAGCTGGAGACAGATCCGTGATACTATCTTCCCAGCCGACACCGTAACGGTGGACGAGTCTCACGAGCTTGTTGCAAGAGTCGAGAACGAGAAGAGAAATCAGATGTTCTTGACGCAGTTCCGAGGCAGAGACTCACTTGTCCCCACACAGATAGAGATGAAAACGGTCTCTCAGCCACCTCCAACGGCTGATAACACGTCTCACCTGTCCACGGTCCTGTCTGAGGTAACTGCTCCCCAGACTGGTCCAACGACCATTGCTTTCTCTGATCCTGGACCAGATGGCAAAGACGAAATATTTGGGCTTTTCCCCCGAGACATGGAAAATTTGGATTATGAGATTACCCCCCTCCCTAATTTCCAAGATCATGAGTCTGGAAACTCTTTGACAGGTGCGGGAAAATGGCACAATGAGATCTTGGATCTGGAACTAGAACCTGACGTGGATTTCGAACAGTGGTTCAGTGAAATAACTCGGCCTGACTTGACTGGAGGAGAGTGATGGAGAGTATATAGATCAGATTGTCAAACTTGAATGGAGGACTTTACACTCGAAATCTTCTGGCAGAATGGACACAACTCAGCTTTATATAAACTTACTACATAAGAATGATTCCTCGAGAGTGACTCAACATGAATGTGCGAATCATCATGCCGTATGTTTGCTGACTTGAGGCCCTCTATTTGTCATTCGGGCTGAAAGGGATGCCGCAAGTGAGGAATCGATATGCTGTGCGCCTACCACGATAAGCTGCACGTCATCATGGAAATTACAATAAGCTGAAATGAAGCATTGTATTGGCTCGGTTGTATGTTGTGCAGACTCTTGATCAGCATTGATCTGATGACCTCGGTGAACTTTTGCACGCAACCTCCAAGGCAGTCAACGGGGATTGTTGACAAGGGCTCGGAACACGACATCCCACGCCTTTAATGCAGTTCGGTATCATGATATATGCTGTAAAATGGTTATTACCATCGGATCATCATAAATCTCGACGTTATAAAAATATCCGATCTCGGACTTAAGGTTCGGCTGCTTCCGCTGAGGGCGTACTTGACATCTCAACTAAGTGGGTACCTCAGTCGCCCCAATCGAAGCCAAAGTTCAATTCAACTCTGACTCCTCATCAACACTTCTTTACTCTCAAGTCCGCGCCCTACGGATACATTCATCCGAAAATAGACGCTATGCGCGTTGATAACGTTGATATGGGCGATACTAACGATACGGAGCACCCCGCCCCTCCTGACGCAACCTCCAGTGGGGAGCCCTTTTTGGACTTTGACACATTGGCCTTTGATCCTGGTACACTTGAGTCCAACACATATGAATCTGCTTTTGAGAATGGATTGGGAGGAAGTGATTTTGAGTTCAATTTTGACGATTTATGGTCTGCGGATACGACCCAACTCCCTCTCACGGCAGATAACACCGGTTTCGCACAGACCCATCAGCTTCAAGACGACACCAGCTTGCAACATGATGGCTTACAGCGCGCAGGGACTGATCAGCTCGAACTCAACTTCGGGGACCTCATGAGAAATGCTTCTGAATCCCCATCAACCAGATCACCCAGCATCCTTACCCCGCCAATTCCCTCTCCACTGCCCCCAAAGATTGGCCATCGCTTCACCCTCGATGCCATCCGTTCATTGAAGGACTGGTTCGCTCGAAACACCGATAACCCCTATCCAAATGAAGAAGAAAAGAATATGCTGGAGCTCCAGACCGGCTTGACTCGAACTCAGATTACAAATTGGCTAGCAAATGCTCGAAGACGGAGAACTACTACCGACAGCGGAACTCAGACGGCTTCAGGAAAGTCTGGCAAGGTTCCTTCCGAGTATACACCAACACGAGCTGGTACACCAATACCACGAAGACGATCTGAGAAGGGGATGCATCCTTTGCAGAGATGGGTTGATTCACCGCCTGAGAATGAACCGGCTGCTGTGTCTGCTATTGCACGTGCGATGGCTTCAGGTGCATTAGTCACTTCCAGTACGTTTCCTTGCATCCAACCTTTAGATTAAGTCTGACAAGAACAGGAAGTCGAAGTCGGAGAGGAACATTCTCAAGTGATGAAAGAATACCCCGGAGACGTGGCCATAGATCAAACGCTAGCAGTCTCGGGACATCAAGAAGCGCATCAACAGACTCACGTTCCTCGCGCGGCTCCATCAGCGGTACCTCATCACACAGTCGAGGCAGGTCCATTCAAAAGCGAAGGCCACAGAAAACATCACTTATGAAACCCCGGCTCACATTCCAATGTACATTCTGTACCGAAACCTTTAGCCGAAAATACGACTGGCAACGTCATGAGAATTCATTACACCTGTCTTTGGAACGATGGGAGTGTTCCCCTGACGGCCCAACAACCACCGATCCAGATACTGGCCAACTCGTCTGCCTATTCTGCGGTGAAAATAGCCCCAGTGATGAGCATATAGCTGCCCATAATCCATCTGCATGTCAGGAAAGATCATTTAGCAGGAAAGACCACCTCAAGCAACATCTGCGCCTTGTGCACAACGCCAAGTTAACTGAACTTTCTATGAAACTATGGAGGACTGCACAACCAGATATCATCTCGAGATGTGGATTCTGTCAAGCTTCAATGACTAGATGGATTGATAGAGTTGATCACGTTGCGAACCATTTTAAGATGGGTTGTACGATGAATAATTGGGTTGGCGACTGGGGTTTCGAAGATGATATATTGAAGACTATAGAGAAGGCCTTACCGCCATGTAAGTACCACGAAACGCTTTGAAGCATTTGGCTAATTTGCATCAGACTTGGTAGAATTGGAACGTGGAACTCCATTCCCTTTCGCGGCGAGTGGTAAACCGCCCGATTCTCCTCGAAGTGCATACGAGCTCATCACGCTGGAGTTGGCATATTTTATTTCGAATCACACCGACAATACTGGGAGTCTGCCAAGTCACGATAGTCTACAACTGGAGGCATGTCGCATCATGTTTGCTTCAGAAGTAACATTTCCTGAAGCGAACCTGGACTCTCACGGGAGTCCATCATGGTTTAGAGACTTGCTTCTGTCCTCTGATGAGATTTCTCAACAAGCTCGCTTCGCACCAATTCGATCGAGTACAGAGAGTAGACTTTCTGTATTAAGGGTCAAGGGCAAGAACTCGTTGTTTGAGGAATGTCCCTTGGAGTCGCGACTGCAAGCGTTCATGCGGGATCGAAGAATGAGGGGGCTTTCTGAGGTATCGGATGGAGAGCTACAAAAAGAGGCAGGTCGTATTGTCATGCAGATGGAAAGCGAGCTTCAAACGAAACCGGAATTCGTTGCGAACTGGTTGATTGGTTTCCTGTATAAATCAACGAACTGGATAAGCGACTTTCGGCGACGTGCAGACCTAATGTCAACCGATGACAGCTGGAAACTCCCATCGCCAGGTAATATGGCATGGTCTGCCGAGCCTACAAGTGCCCAGGTACAACATGATCTATCTTGGGTGAACAACTCGTCTCTCTTTGACGGAAATGACTGGTCTTTTGGAGGGCAAGCTGGGCCGTCGGGCGCAAGCATGACCTGGCAAGCGAACGAACCAGCCAATAACGCTGATCAATCCACGTTTGACCCATCGCTCGATGACTTTACATGGCTTTGGTCAGACGATAAATCACCACCAAAAATACCACAGACGACCCCGAGTCCCGGAGCCGAAGGGGAGTCAGGCCTCCGACCGACGTGGCTTGGTCCGGGTATCTATGTCTTGAATGACCCGAACCATCTCCCCTGGTTTGCGCGCGAGATGAAGAGATGGGTAAAGGCGGCCATGTCACCGAATAACCCAATCTCTCATGTTCCTTCTGATGAGGAGCTCAGACATCAAGCTCGATGCCTGCTTTACAACGAGTAAGTCCGCGCCCTCTCGTCTTTGACGCATCCAGCTTACCCTTCCAGTGATGACCCTTGGAACCAAACACCTGCAGACCATGCGCAATGGTTGGAGATGTTCAAGAAAGAGGTAGGAATCATTTGAAACGTGGGCAAGAGGATCCCTACGCGCTCAGGGAAGGACTGTGATAGCAATGCAGGAGCCCGCAAATGCAGGACGCCATGGAAGGGCAGTCTATGGCTGGAAAGGCTTCTGCGCACATAGCGAATGGAAGTGGACATAAGAATGCACCGAAGGATCCTTCAAGTCCTTTCGGACCTTGACAAGGAAGACTTCAACCTCTTCAGGCGTCCATCCCAAGGCTCGGGTGAAGGGACCGATGGTGATCGCATACAGACCGTCGTAGATGACGCTCCTGTTATAAAGGCCAATCATCTTGAGACTTGGGTCCTTCGGCCATGGACCGACTGGCACTTTCTTGATCTCGTGGCGGATATTGACGAATCCAGCGTCGTGCAGTCTGTCGGGGTTCTTCTCGGCAGCGTGCATCTCAATGCCTGACTTTGCGAGGGCAGCTCGGATGTTGGCTACCATTTGCGGTGGTGTAAAGTCGGGACGTAGTGTTCCGTCGTCGCATCCGTATACCCATCGGAATTCGGGAATTTCGATCCATCCTCCTGGCTTTAACGCGCTGCGAATGTTAGCTGTGAGCGGCCATCGGGCGCGGGAGTGTTACCGGTAGATCTGTCCCAGCAGCGCAGGCCAATCCTTGATTGCGGTGGACATGTTGCGCAAATGGACAAGGTCTATCGAGTTTTCGGAGTATAGCCACGGTGCTTCGGCGTCGTCGACGAGGAATCGGACATTGGGAGGAACCCATGGTGGCTGAATGGGACTCAGATCAATCCCAATTACTTCGGCACTGGGATATTCGTCGCCCACTGCAATAAATCAGCCAATCGCCCTCAATCGGGGTTATTTTGCCTACTATCAATCGCCCAACTTCCAGTGCCTGTTCCGATATCGAGGATCTTCTGAGGATGGTTCAAAGGCGCATTGTGCAACTTGCCGCCAAGCAGATGCACTGCAACCGTGTGCTTCATGTCCTCTCTTTCTTGTTCGGGGAGATCATTCGGGAATTGGTACAAGCCCTCCTTGAATTTATGGTATCGTCGACTGTTCTCGAATTGATAATCGCGCACACTCGAAGCTAGAGATGACGACTGTGCGGAATGCTCGGATGAAGCGTATCCATCATCTGTTGCGACATCGTCGTTTGTTGGAGGAGCTGGGTGATCGGGTTCAATTGGAGGATCGTGCTGTTGTAGCTCGGGGACTCGATATGAGGGATTCGTCGGGGGGTCTGTTGTATCAGCCATGATGAAGTAACTGAAGTAAACAAGCTGAAGAGAATGCCCGGGGAAGTGGAGTTTCTATCTCTTAGTGAGCGCTGTCCCCATTTCTTGGGACTTGAGTGATATCGGGTACGGGAGATCAACAGCCCGTGGTTGATTTGATCGCCGGATCACTGCCCGTCTCCGCCATCACTGCAACCAACCCCACCAAGAGCGTTTTTCTGCTGTTGGTTGTATCACACTGCTTATCTTTGCTGTTGGTCGAGACAAACAGCAGCCAAAACTGATTCTCATTGCTTGGCGTGTTTGTCATTTATGCTTAATTGGTTAGACGCCATGGAGCCCTTCAAACTCTCCCTGCAAGACGGCACTGTGCTCTCTGGAATCTCCAACATTCCGTCGTCGCCCTCGACTGTGAAGCATAGGCCGTTGGTGGTTGGACTTCACGGGGGGTGCTATACGAGCCACTACTTCGATGCTACCCCAGAATGCTCGGCGAGGGGTATCAGTGAAGCGCTCTCTGTGCCGTTTGTGGCTATAGATCGACCAGATTATAGGGATACTACGCCCGTGGGTGGTATTCCCGAAGGATCAAGCTATCCCGAACAATGGGGACGGAGACTCCATGAATCCATTCTCCCGGCCCTTTGGAAAGAGTATGGACTATTCAATGCATGCACATGCATCGTTCTTCACTGTCACAGCCTTGGAGCCAACGGTGCAATCGTCGCATCATCCCTGCACGCAACCTCATCATCACCTGCATATCCCCTCGGCGGTATCGTCATATCAGGCTTTTGTTCCCTATTAAAAGACACAGGCGGCCATGTTTCGCAGCCCGATCCTCCACCCTCGTATTTGAACATCCCTGTCGAAGTAAAAGACAAGACGTTGCTTCTTCCAGGAACGGCAGACGAAACTGTTTATGCACAGTCTGAGCGCCTCGACCACGCCATTCCGTTTGAGGAACTTGCAGCGCTGAGAAAGTCTTGGTTGGGTGAGTGGAAAGACAAATGGGGCGTTAATGTTACGGCACCTGTTATGATTGCGTTGGCGGAGCGAGATCACTATTGGGATGCTACGGAGGAACATTTGAAGCATTTTAGGGAGGGGTTTCCGAAGAGTGAGCGGGTGGATTTGAGTATCGTAAAAGCGGCACCGCATAATATTGAGCTGAGCTATTGGGGTCCTGGGTGGTATGCGAGGAGTTTTGGGTTTGCGGTTGAGTGTGCGGTTTCACTTGCATTGCAGAAGTGAGGTCGAGTTGATTTATATTTTACAGTTATATTATACGGGATGGAATCTTAGAGGTCATTTACTTCTTATGAATAAGATTGTGTACGAACTTTCCATAGGTCACAAGTTTATGAAGATAGTTCACATCATCGTTGATGTTGAGTCAAGACTTGAGGTTAGGTTAGAAATGAATTATCTTGTGTCAACAACGAACAGCTCAAACACGTCTGCAATCGGGTCCGGTGTTTTGATACTTGGATAGTCCTGTGACACTTTCAAGAGGTGAATTTCCATAGCATTGGTTGAATGACCTGACTCATCAGTCAAAGGGCGCGCCCCTCATTGTCAAACTCCAAGATAAAAACAGAAGAACTCATCAACCTATTTCTGTTTACTTCTCACTTCAAGGCCTGAAAAGCTACCATGAGTCAAGCACCACCCTCGAAAGTCTTGGGCGCCTTTGGCGCAGAAGGGTCTCTTATGCACGTCCCGGGCGGTCGAGGTCTCTGCTATCGAACTTTGCAAAGCATTCTCCTCCGACCATCAGACGACGACGAAGAATCCGAATACACAGCATCCCTCTGCAAGTCCCTGTTTGAGCTTCATCCCAGTGACTACCGCGTTCCTAGACCTATCCATGCCTCGGGATCCCCTGCGAGATATGTTTTCGATGGCTGGACGGCCTGGGAATATCTTGAAGGGAGAGCAACTCCTCACGGAAACTTTGATATTCTTATGAGAGCTTGCCGTGCCTTTCATGCTGATATCACGAGATTGGCTATTGCGAGGCCCTCGTTTCTATCTACGAGGCAGAATCGATTTACAGAGGCGGATCTTGTGACTTGGGAGGAAAAGAAACTGGAGGATGTCGAGAAGATCAACAGCGATGTTATGGCTACTATTCAGCCAATCCTTAGCCAACTTCTGGAGCTACGACAACCGTTTCGACAAGAAGTCAAGAACCAACTTATCCATGGCGATTTAACTGGAAATGTTCTATTCGACACAGATACCAACAGCCCTCCGGCAATCATCGACATCACGCTTTACTGGCGACCGGTTGAGTATGCAGAAGCTATCATAGTTGCAGACGGACTCATCTGGTTGAATGAAGATCGGAAGTTGGTCGACATGTTTGGAACCGATCATACAAGGATTCAGCTCCTCGTGAGAGCTTTGTACTGGCGGTGCTTGTGCTTTGCTATTGATCCGTTTCTTCCCTTCGTGAACGAGAATCTCCCAAAGGCGAACTTTGCGGGAGCTATTGATATTGTCAGGGAGTTTATGGGCGAGTGCATTTGAGATACTGAGAGATAGGCTGTTGCTTGCTCATACACAGAGCGTTTGAAGGCCACGAAGGCCACGATAGTTTCAAAGGCGCTCATGGAAGCTTCATCGTTTCTCGAATAGCATTGGTAAATACATATCTACAATTCAAGCAGCTCAAAACATCCATCCCTCACTTATCTTGTATGAACTGGCATATGAACTTCTGCACAAGCACTGCCCCGTGCCCAATCTGACAAGCTAAGCCTGTTTGCTGTAGCTTGATACCTGATAAGCGGCGCATTTTTCCTCCGTAGAATTAGACTAAATATTAAGCTTGTCTCACGCACCGTCTCCTCTCTCATCCATTGGCTCATCAGCGTCAGCATCGTTTGCCAAGCAGTAATCTCACGCTTACATAACACCCCTACCGTCATCTACCCCAAGGGAATCTGATCCTCGTTAGCTAACTCTGAACAGTCATCAAACAATCATGGTTGGTGTTCCGAGCAGTCGAGGCTGCAACTCATGTCGAAAGGCAAAGAAGAGGGTATGTATAAGTTATTATTCTCTTGGAGATGAAGCCCCGACTAATGAGATAAGTGTGATCAAAAGCAACCAAAATGCGGCCGCTGTATTAGACTTGGTGATGAGTGCGTGGGCAGTGGAACAAGGCGCTTCAAATTTCATCAGTACAAGCCTGATACACAGAGTACACAGCTCATCACACCTCCTGCTGAAACACCTAGCAATGATACGACTAGACTGACCGCAGAGTTTATATCACTTATGGAGATTGATGATGATCGGTTTGGTTTTGAAGCCTACGGTCCTTATTTCTTTGCAGATATTCCTCGGCGTATGGGTTCGAATTCTGCTCTTGATACTACCACTTCTGCCATGATAGCATCGTTCCAAGCAGTTCGTCTGAGGAAGACTGCGGACAAGAAGACTTTTTCTCTCTATGGAAAGGCGTTGAGATCCTTGCATGGCTGTTTGAGTGATAATAGCCAACCGGCTATGCTCAAGTTGGAACTTGTTTTGATGATGATGCTGTGTCAGGTAATTATACCCCGTTGGACGCTTTGGTTCCAGTACTGATGGCATTAGATCTGGATTGATAACAAACACGCCAACAAACATCGGGGGGTGATAGCCTACTTGTTAAAAGAAGCTGTATCTCAAGGCGAGATTCTTCACTCGGGGGATATACGAGCCTGGTGTTTACAAGCGGTAAGACCTTGTTCTACTTAGACATAACGTGGCTGACAGGAGAGAGTAGATATACGCCGCTCTATGCGACCCAAATGTTGAGCTTGGGTCATGGTTCTGGGACGTAGCCGTCCAGGATACTATCATGACACGACCATACCACTACGAACAGAGTCTCTACTGCTTCGAGCTCGGTGCAATAGGCGACTTGCCTGTTTTCCTTCGAGATCCGGAGAGATATCTTTACCAGTTGAAATGCTACTACAACATTCTCTCTCAAGAACGACAAGTGATGAAGAAACTCTACGAAGAAGCCATGGTGGCAACACTCCCAACGGATGCATCAGCAGCGTGCAGAATGAAAGCCATAGAGTACGCCTCCGGCCACGCAGGTCTTCTCGTCCAAGCAGCACTCATCGGCCCAACACTCAATCCCTTTGGTGTTCTTCCAGATTACACACAAGATTCTCGCGATATATGCGATGATGCGATACTTCTTGCCCATCGATGTCAAACATTCAGACCATGTGGAGCGTCCTACGTGCCTGAGCTCTTGAAGTTGGTCTGGGCGTCATTGGACGACGGATATAGACATGGGGAGCTGGAGAAATTGATGAATGAGTATGCTGAGGATGTTCAGGGTGCGAGCTATCTTGAGGAAGCGAAGATTATGAGGAAGAGGTTTGATGGTCTTGGATGGAGCAATGAACAGCGGTTCTTGGAGGGGAGGGATGAAGGGCTTGAGACACCGCCGCCGTGTGTGATTTTGTGAGATGAGATGGCACTAAAAAATTGTATCAAGGTGTAAGGATGAAGTTGGAACAAATAGTCCGATAAAGTTACAGTTGTCCAAGGTTCACATGTCACAAACCCCAGTCTGGTGGATGTCATTCTAGGGTAAGTTATTTGCTAACGTTAGAGGTTACGCCTGGTAGGGCATGGCTACTAATTTTAGAACCCAATTACACCATTAATTAAGCACCACGATGGTTGCACTCTTAATTCCTCCATTGCATCATAAGTCACCAAGCTAATCTCATCCTGCCTTAAGACAAATTCTCTCACTCACACCATCTCGTCTCTCGATCTTGAACATTCTTGGGAAAACATCCGCTGCGCAAAGCTTGCCCAACTGGGGGCCTCTTTTTCAGCTCCTGCAGATCGCGAGGATGATCCCTGGGCATCGACCCCGCTATTAGTGATCTAACAAAAGGCAGAGGATGAACAGTTGACGACTGTTAGTGGTGTAGCTGAATCCTGTGTCAGCCACAGTGCGCTAGATGGGTAGCGTACCCCTCTAATTCATGAGCTGTCTGGCTGTTTGCTCTCGACAATACGAAAATGGAATCAAGTTCCAAGACTTTAGTTTGAGTTGGTTTCTGAGATTGACAAGATGCTAACTACATGCGAGCGTTTATCCCACGATCATCATCGCCGCCCTCATAAACAGGGCAAGCGAGCATAGCCTCCGCCGTGGAGAATACTCACCAAAAGCAAGGAAGCTCATCAAATGACCCTTCACGACATTACACCCACCAACTTACAACCACCATCTAGCATCTAGCGCTCTCTCAATATGTAGTAGCTTCAATTAAACCCCTGTCATGGCGGTCTCATGTCCTGGAAGCTTGTTGGGTTAAGCTTATTTCAGTGCCTATCCCCGTCGATCAGCCTCGCGGTGTGAGTCTCCCTCGGGTAGCCCTACGGTATTTCAAGGCCTTGCTTTCCCAGTCAAGCCTCGAGACTGTCACTGTCGTCTCTGCTCGCGTCTTCTCTCTTGCCTCAGCACTTGCTCACCTTCAAACACTGCATACCTCGTGCTCATGGCCGATAAACCCACTACCGCCCCCCAAACATCAACCATCCCCACAATGACCACCGCCGAAAGGTCATCCTCCGGCTTCCTCAAAGTCATCGCCTTCTTCGACCTCGTCGTCAAACTCGCCGCGACGGGTGCGCTCATCGGAATCCTTGTTCTACTTGTGCAGTTCAACAACAACATCGATAAGCTCTTCAACGGGAGCAGATCTCTCCCCGTTCGAGTCTCCGATGCCGCGCCGCTGCGTATCATGCCCGGTTACTCGGGCACCTTCGATGTTCGAATGACGAATAACGCAAATGACCCCGTGTGGTTCAAGGTGGACAATTAGACGGAAGACTAGACGTGTATCATGTTTCGGCGCTTCATGGGGGTCGGTCTCATTTCGGTGGGAGAGGGCGGTGGACGGTTCATTTCAAGGCCTGTAGCGTGTTAATGTTATTCTGGTGGCGTGTTGTGGATGCTTACCTGCGCTGAGACTTCAGTAACACATTTTCTATCTCATGATCATCATGCTAAATAGATACAGTCTTTCATGATCTCTGTTACTGCAAGACCAAGCTAAGAGTCGCGTTGCAAGACGCGACCCATCCATCACGACGGTAATTGAACCGTGCACAAAGGCGACAAGACAACAGTCTTCTAGAAAAAAAAAGTATCATTTAGCAAACACCATAAACTAAATGCGAGCTATAAATAGTCTAAGCAGATCAAATGTAAATGTCGTTCCCGTGCCGTAACTGACTGATTATTCCCGTGCGCCCGTCTAAGATGGTACTGAAGGAAACTCCCGATCGGGTGAAACCGTTGAAATCCGGAAGAGGGGGTTCAGGGATACACGTGACCACCCGGATCGTGACCGTTACCGGCCCCACCCGGGCCGAGGATTGAACGCCGAGAAAATAACGTGGGAGAAACGCCATGAGTAGTAGGAAATTTGGTCGTTGTCGAATTCAAATAGATGCCGCTAGTGGTCTTTCTTCTTCCGTGTATATGTGGTTTTCATATATGTTTTGTGCTGGGTATTTTGTTGTGTCTTGTTTGTTGCTACGCTGCCCCCGAAGTCGGCCACGCTCAGGCCTTCCATGCGGCAAGATTGCCGAGCAAGCCGCGAACGCTGTTACGGCTCTCTTCTAGAACAGCGGCGTCTCGTGTTTGCTGGACCTTCGACTCGACGGCTTGCAGGACGCGCAAGTGCTCCTTCTTGAGCTCCTCGAAGCCATCGTCAAGCTGCTTGTGCCATGGGTACAGAACACCCACCTGGAAGCTGAGTGCAGAGCCAGCGATGACAAAGTTGGTGATGGAGAGGGCGCGAGTGATGATCATGGTGACTGATTTGAAGGAGTTGTTTTTTACTGACGCGTAGAGAGTAATGCCGTTGTGCGAATGAACAAGCTGAAGATGAAGGCTTGGGTTGGCGACAGACACGGGAAGCAAGACGCAACAAAGTTACAGAAAAAATAAAAGAAAGAATGAAATGTTACAAAAAAAAAAGAAGAACAAAGTTAAAAAGGAGTCCCGACAGAAAAGAACAACAGAGAAGAATCCCCGCATACGTACGTGCCCGTGACATTCGGCTCGGTGTTGCCCAATTTATCCAAAAAGGTAAGGCCGCCGTAAATAAACAGGAATCAACAGTCTCGGCTCGCGTGAGCAAGGGATGGTCGAGACTCTTGGAGTCTTGACAAGTCATGGAGAGTCGGACCAGGGGCTGTCAAATGAGACGCTGTCATCCGAACTCCGGATTTCACATGTCCACTGTTCTTGCGCGCGTGTCTCTTGTCACTTGTCAAAGAGAGTTTGACATTCGCCACAACTTCATGATTCCCCACAATGGCGCAAGGGTGCTGGAGTACGAGAGATTCGAGTCACTGAGTATTGGTCTCTTGAACTTGAGCTGAACTCTTGGTCGTGACCAAGTTGTTCTTAAGGCTTTCGCATTTCGCTTAATGGTTTCGAAATGTTGAATCAATTGAACAATGCTTCTACGGGCCTTCTGGACTTAACCGCCGTTAGCCGTCAGTGGAGTCACTAGGACAAGGTTCCCACGTGTCGAAACAGGGCTGCATCGGTTCCCCCGATTGTCTCCATTCTTCCGTACCGATGCCGGGTCAGTGACATCTCCCGTATCTGTCTGTATCCACCTCCAAGAGCGGCTCATCTACCGGCCTTCGGTACCCATATCGCCGGGGTCGTGGATCCCGGATCCTCCAACCCATTGCTCCATCGTCAACCCGGACCGGAAGTGAGCAGCGATGTGATCCGTCCGTTCTCCCCAGCTATCTATCATCACTTGACAGAAACCGCATTGGCTTCTTATTATATCTTGTCGGTGTTGTAGCAGACTCAGATCCGGTTTCCAGCCATCCCACTTGCGACAGCCATGAAACTTGTGAAGGTGCTGCCAGAGGTGGTCTTTGCGTGTAAACTTGCGCTCTGAAACAGGGCGTTCGGCACAGGTGTCGAATTCGTGAGCTTGAATGTGCTCGTCGCTGGGTGAGTTCTCACCACAGAAAAGGCATTGCGGGCCATCTTCGCTCATTCGCCAGACTAAAAACGATTGATCTGGCGTGACAGGCAATGCGCAAATCCATGAGTCGAGGCCTGGGAGATGAATTGACCGTTCATGGCGAACCCAGTCGTACTTTTTCTTGAAGCTTTGTCCGCAAAATGTACATTGAAACGCAACGAACTTCTTTGTTCGTGACCTCGAGGATGCAGTCCTAGATATGGAGGGTCCTTCTGCCACCGAAGTACTACCAGAGCGAGAGAAGAATGCCGCATCCCTTGAGCGATACGAGTAACAAGAAGATGCCGAGTTAGATGAGGCCTCTTGTAGATTAGAAAGCCAGAGAGAGTCATTGCTCGCAGATGATCCTGGTCCATCAGACGCCGCCGCGTCGCTATCCAGCGAACTGTGTCCACTTGACTGAGCAGCCAGGGCATTTTGGATCGCCGTCGCTGAAGCTGGCTCCTCATCGGGCGGAGAATTTTTCCAGCGATCCATGGGTGAAAGGTTTTTGCGGAGGTAATGCGGCATCGGTGATCCTGGTGCAAATCCTTGACGACCCCGGCCAGGCGATGCAGAGTAAGTTGAGGAGAGTCGATGGCGTCGTCTAGTATTAGCAAACCAATTGACTACTTGGCTCCTGCTCAGCCCTGACTGTTGAGAAAGACTAGCTTTCTCCTCCTCTGATGGGTAGGGGTGGTCAAGATTGGAAAGGTACCAATTCCGCAGCACCCTCGTCTTTCGCACTGATCGAGTGTTCGCTCTTTTGCCCGATAGTGCTGCCATTGAAAGGCCCTGCGATGATTGACCTTCATCGACTGTCGCAGGTACTCCTAGGATGCTGTGCTCGCTAACCCCGTGGAGGCGACCGATGACAGGCTCCGACGTCTCAAATTCCGAGGGTTTCCTCTTCTTCTGCCCCGCCAGACTGCATTCGCGGAACAAGGCGACACAGCTTGAACAACTCTTGGTAGGGTTCGGATTTGCTACCGTAGTTTGCAAGATTAGGCACTGCAAACGAGTTCGACGACAATTGGTGCATGGCACAGGAGGACGGGATGCTCCATTCTTGACGAAAAATTCATCAATAGAGGTCATGGGCGTTTTGATAGGATCAGTGGGAGCTGGCAACGGCGCTGGGATACCCCAATCTGTGGCTGGTTGATTGAGAAAAGAAAAGTCCTGGTTGAGATCATCTGCGGGGGTCTCGGAGGCAGCTTTGGCCTGCTGGAAATCGGCATTCCAATCAATCTGAAAATCCGGAATTTCAGTGTTTTGAACGTTGAACGCTTCTTGAGGGTTGATCGTCTGTAGCATGGTGTCGATATTCGCTCCCTCAGCAAGCGGATTTGACGGACTCCGCGATTGAGGGGCTGGATCGTCAACCTGGTCGTAGGGAAGCGTCAACGCAGCATCTTCGCCGCCGGTGAAGAGAATGTCATCCAGTGAAAAGTCCATTATGACACTGTAATGAGGGCAGTGGCCTCTCAGCGACTTCAAAGGGATGATGAGGAGGCATGTGAAGAAGATGTTGGAGTGGAGTTTTGGGAGAAGTTGCGATAACGTCACGCGTAGTGGTCGCTTGAAGCGATGTCGGTCGGGCTTAGTCACAGCCGCGATGCAAATGACAGCGCGCACCGCCTGTTTGGGAGATCCTTAACGACATTCTTTTGGTGTTTTATTGCAGGTCACCATTTGTTGTTTATTCTCGAAGGATGATGAGATCTACCTTTATCGCACCAATGCGCACGTCCAGTATTGCCAAGTTAACTATGCTGTGGAAGGAAAAACAGCCAGGTACTTGGAGGGCGCTGCGATGTCTTGGATTGGATGTGACAGTGAGCCCACTGAATCTGCCCATGATTCCCATTTACTGCACCTGCTCTGATGGTTTTCAAGTGGAAGGCATACAATGGGTCTTGGCTTAATTTTTTTAAGTTCTTTTCTTTTTTACTGTGTTCAGTAACTCAACTTCCTCGCAATGCACTTGCTGATTAGGTACCAACAGAGTGGCTGTCAGTGGTTCCATAGCGTCAAATGTGCTGTCACAACCAAAGCCAAACTGGCCGTCCCTTACAGCCGCAGTAATTAGAGCTCATTGTTCTAGACTTGATAAAAACACCATCTGGTGTGCAATGTGCATCGGCCTCAATCAAAATGCGGAGCGACACAGGAAGTCGGTTACCCTGACCTGTTAAATGCGTCCAGCGACGATCCAGACGCCGTATAAAATCGCCTGTTTCTGCATAATTTTACGAGCCAGCCTAAGCTAGCCTACATCAGAACAACAGCCAAACATGCGCCCAAAAATCATTGGTCTACGCTCTATTGATGAGTAGTTCTGCGATACCTCAACTTCATTACAGAATCATGAACCATCAAAGGTTTAGCAATAAGAGAAATAGAGATCTTTTGAGAATCAAGTCCTGCGAAAGACATGAACAATTTCAGGGCAACTCATAACACGAATTGGAATGGAGTACATGAATGAGTGAGTGCTCATTGTGTGGGGTTGGTCAAGTATGGCTCTGTCGCCAGAAGGCGCATCACCAATGTTAACTTGGGCGCATTCTCTTGCAAATTGTGTATAAAATTGTTGCAGAAATTCTTCACAAGAACTTTAGAGCATCTCAACGCAAACATCTCCTCTTCCTTCATCGTCACATCGAGTCTTGTTCTGGCTTCCCCGCTCAAATTCTCCGCATCAAACCTTCTTCATCGCAGTTGGAGAAACCCAGCACAACAAGCATCATGACCACTCGTCGACACGTCCACTTCAACTCCAAAGCCAAATCATGGACTTCACCTGAGCCCGCCTCTACAGAAGCCATTGATCGGTTTCACCAGAGTCTCCCCAACTATGAGCCAACACCTCTTGCCAGTCTGGACAGCCTGGCTAAGGAGATCGGGGTCGGAGCTGTCTATGTCAAAGATGAGACGAACCGTTTTGGTCTTCCCGCGTTCAAGATCTTGGGTGCTTCTTGGGGCGCGTTCCGCTCCATAACCGAGAAATTTGGCTTGCCTCTTGACTCAGATATTGATACTGTCCGAGAAGCGGCAAAGTCCCATCAATTGACATTGTACGCGGCGACCGAGGGCAATCATGGGCGTGCGGTTGCAAGAATGGGTGCTATCTTCGATATCTCAGCTGAGATTCACGTCCCAGCGTCTATGCATCCTTCTACGGTCAGGTTAATTGAGTCCGAAGGCGCAAAAGTCGTTATGTCAAAGGGCAGATACGAGGATGCGATGCTTGAGGCCGAGTCTGCGTCCAAGCATGACAAGGGGATCATGGTTCAGGACCATGCCTTTGGCGACTATCAGACCGTTCCACAGGTAAGTGATACTTCACTATCTATGACTAGATTCCATCCTAACGCATTGTATAGTGGATTGTCGATGGCTACGGTACCATGATGCGAGAGGTTGACAAGCAGCTCGGTTCCACCAAAGCTGACTTGGTCATTGCTCCTGTCGGAGTCGGATCATTCGCCCAAGCTGTAGTATCTCATTTCAAGAGACAGGGTACATCTACCTCCACGTTGACAGTTGAGCCTGATACTGCGGCGTGTTTGTGGAAGAGTCTGGAGAAGGGCGAGTTCACCGAGATCCCAACGACTGGCACCATCATGGCTGGTCTCAATTGCGGAGCTCCTTCAACAATCGCATGGGACGTGTTGAAAAATGGCGTTGATGCAAGCTTGACCATATCAGACTACGAGGCTCACCAGTCCGCCATGTATCTGCAATCTCAAGGCATCAACGCTGGACCCTGTGGAGCATCGACTCTTGCTGCACTTAGACGGCTGACACCGGAGGACAAAAAGGCCCTTGGGCTCAATGAAAAGTCCAATGTGGTGATCTTTTGCACAGAGCGAAACCGAGACTACGATGTTCCTCACGACGTTTCTGGCAATGACGCAGTTGCACTCACTCAGACCCTTGTCCAGATCAATTCAGCCAGTCCCGACTTGGGCTCTGTGCCCGGACCTGGCGAGACCGTCATCGCTCGCTATGTCGCTGCATGGCTTGAACATCGGGATCTGGAAACGCACTGGGTTGAATACAACAAAGGCCGTCCCTCTGTCGTTGGTGTCGTTCGGGGCTCCGGCGGCGGGAAAAGTGTCATGTTCAACGGACACCTCGACACGGTCACCATTATGGGCTACGATGATGATCCGTTGAGCGGAAAGATCGTTGATGGCCGTCTTTATGGTCGAGGATCCGCTGACATGAAGGGAGGTGTCGCGGCAGGTATGGTCGCCCTCGCCAATGCTAAGAAGCTTGGACTTCGTGGTGATGTGATCTTTACTGGTGTTGCCGACGAGGAGAGCTTGAGTAAGGGAACGGAAGATATCCTTCGCGCTGGATGGAGAGCAGATGCTGCTGTTGTGTCGGAGTCAACGAACCTCGAGATCAATCACGCGCACAAGGGATACTGTCACATTGAGATCAAGGTGTATGGACTGGCTGCACATGGTTCACGGGCTGATTTGGGCATCGACGCCATTGTCAATGCCGGCCATTTCCTCGTGGAGTTTGGTAAATACGTTAAGAAGTTGCAAGAAGGTGCTGGGGACGAGACCTTGGGAACAGGCACTGCACACGCGTCAGTTATCTCGGGTGGTGAAGAGGCATCGTCATATCCTGCCCAGTGCACCATCATTGCAGAGCGCCGAACAATCCCTGGAGAGACCAATGAAGTTGTCCAGAAGGAGTTCGACGACATTATTGCCAGGGTAGCAAAGGAGGTTACCGACTTCAAGGCAGAAGCCAAGATCTTCTTCAGCCGCCCACCCCAGTTCACAGCGGCAGACCACCCGTTCACCAAGCTCGTCTCCGGCATTGTGGGTGATGTCACTGGCAAAGACGCGGTCATTGCCGGTGCCCCATTCTGGACCGATTGTGCTTTGTTGGCTGAGAAAGGGATAGTGCCTCTGCTCTGGGGACCAAAGGGAGAGGGATTCCACGGAAAGGAGGAGTTTGTTCACGTCAAGTCAATTGAACAAGTGTCTGAGGGATTGGCCAATATAGCAGCTGAGTTCTGTAAGTAGGTAGATAGACGATGCCTTGTCCATTGAGTGTAATTGAGGATTAGCTCTTTGTTCTCATCTGAGTTGACAACTTGACCCTCTCGTTCTCACACCTTATGGTCGAGACAGGTTTATAGAACAGATGAACGGATGGTCTAAACGCGCAGGTAACCACTTTAAAGATAAGTATTGGTTCTGTCGGTGGGATCTAGAGTTCTAACACTGGAACAGGTAGCTCATATATAACGACCAACATCCACTGGCATCGGACCTAACCTCTGTCTAAGACTTCCCGTCTTATTCTTCCATCTATTCTTTCTATCAGAAGTTCACCTTAGTTCACCAGAACTCGACAAGTCATCACCAACCTCTGGCTTTCTCAAGTGACCCCTTTCTTCCATCAACCCACCCATAAGGGTACTACCATTACATATCACAACCACATCCCATTAAACATCACCTACTATGCTACCAGGAATACTGGTCACCGCATTGGGGCGGTACAAGGAGGATACAAACTCCGTCGCCGGCTGGCTTGCCTCCACGGCAAAGGCACATGGCTATAAGCCACAGTCAAACGAGACTCAGACAAGTTCCTCCGGCCGCCTGAAGGGAAACGCCAGAAAGAAAGCCAAGCAGAAGGCTGCTGAAAGTAACCAAGAAACAGGCCAGAAGTATACGGTTGCCATAAAGGACTTTGTCCCCATGGCGGAACACATTGCGGCGCAAACGAAGCCTCGCATTCAGGTGCCTGGCTCCTTTGCTACAACAATCGACCGAGTGATCTATGAAAGATCTTCTTTCAGAAGACTCCTTGTAGAACAGGGCGTTGAAGCTGACGAGACTGCCGACCAAAATCACGCGTACTTTGTACGTGTGCTACAAGCGGTTCGAGAGGCTCTACGCCCCAATATGCCGAAGTCCGCCAAAGACAAATCTCCTCAACCTGACACTCCCCGTAGCCTGGCTCAGAACTTTGGTCAACTGACAGTCGAGGAGCCATCACGGGAGTTCTTGAATGCCCCAGAAGTCGAGCGTCCTAAACAGATGACCCAGGATAACACTACCTACGAGTTAGAAGAACAAGATACATTGGATGATGCCTTGACTGTTTGGCATCTTCTGATGGTTGATGCCGGAAAGATCCGAGACCGCATCGCATGGGTTTGGAAAGCCTATCGCGATGGGAAGCTGGATATTACAGTTGCTGGGGTCGCCACGGACACCGGAATTCATATGCTAGCGGTTTTAGAGGAACAGTCACGCACAATTCTTCATCAGCATGGCGGTTGCCTTAAGGTTTCTAAGGCATGCTTTAGCAGCGTAGCCTCTCAACAGGGCTACGCCATGCAGGACATTAATGACTGCTGGGACGGGAGCTGTGACCATGTTCAGCTCTCCGAGCTGTTCAACATCACCTTTTCT